GCTACCACTGGCCCTTCGGCACGGCCGCCTGCAAGGTCAGCAGCTACCTGGTGTTCGTCAACATGTACGCCAGCGTCTTCTGCCTGACCGGCCTCAGCTTCGACCGCTACCTGGCCATCGTGCGGCCGCTGGCCACCGCCAAGCTGCGCTCGCGGGTCAGCGGGCTGGTGGCCACCGTGGCTCTGTGGCTGCTGGCCGCCCTGCTGGCCCTGCCCGCCCTGGTGCTGCGGCGGGCGGCCGCCCTCGGCGGGGACACCAAGATCACCTGCTACATGGACTACGGGGACCTGGCGGCGCAGGGCACGGAGGGCGCCTGGGAGGTGGGGCTGGGGCTCTCCTCCACCGCCCTGGGCTTCGTGGCGCCCTTCGCCGTGATGCTGACCTGCTACTTCTTCATCGCTCGCACCGTGGCCACTCATTTCCGCCGGGAGCGGGCCGAGGGGCCCCGCAAGCGCAAACGCCTCCTCACCATCATCACGGTGCTGGTGGCCGCCTTCGGGGGCTGCTGGCTGCCCTTCCACCTGGTCAAGACCCTCTACGTGCTGATGGACCTGGAGGTGCTGCCCTGGTCCTGCGCCCTCCACACCTTCCTCAACAACCTCCATCCCTACTGCACCGGCATCGCCTACATCAACAGCTGCCTCAACCCCTTCCTCTACGCCTTCTTCGACCCCCGCTTCCGCCACGCCTGCGCCGCCCTCCTCTGCTGCCGGACCCCCGGCCCCGGCCCCGAACGCTCCGCCAGCTACTCCTCGGGGCACAGCCACCCCCCCGGTGGCAAGGGGGGCCCCGGCCCGGGGGGCAAGCTGGACCCCGCCACCCAGGAGACGCTCTTCCGCTCCTGAACCCCTCCCCGACCGCTCCCGGCGCCCCCCGAGCTGGTCTACTCGGGGGGACCCCCCCCCCCACCTCCGCCTCGCCCCAAAGCCTGGCTTGCTTTGGGGATCCCCGCTGAAAAGCCCTAATCGCAGGAAGGGAAAACTGAGTCACAGCCGGGGAGGAGCCCCTGGGGGCCTCAGGCGGGGGCGGCTCCCCCGGCACCCCAGGGCTTTGTGTTTTGTGACAAATAAATGAATTTTGGATAAAAAAGGAGCAGGGTGTGCGCAGTTCCCTCGGGGGGCTGGGGGGATGCGATGGAAGGGTGGATGGTGGGGTGGGGGTACGGCAGGGTTTTAGGGTGTCTAGAGTGAGGGTGCAGTGTGTGTGGGGGGTGTGTGTGCACTGTGGGGCGTCTCTGCCTGGGATGGATTCTCCTGGTCTCTTCCTCAACAACACTTCGGGAAATGCAGGAAAACCTCCATCCCAAGCCTTCGGGGTGTTGCAGCACCGCGATGAGGGTGCTTGATCCCGTGGGGTGGGCACCTGCCTGCCCCAGCCCCCTAGCTGTGATTGTATCAGGCAGCAGCACCGTCCCACCAAATCCCATTTTGGGGCTTTTTTCCTTATCTGAGGCTGAGACGAGCCCCAGGGGACTCACCTGGGAAGTGCAAACGGGACCCGGTGCTGTGAAACACCCAAACGTGAGGGATGGAGACACAGGAATCCCCGGGTGCAGACGGGGACACGGGACCCTCAGGGTATGAAGAGGGACACAGGACGCCCTGGGCGTTGATGGGAGGTTTGGGCACCGGGCAGGACTCCAGCTCACCCCAACCAGGATTTGGATGAGCCACCAAATGGCTCCTGTCCCATTTCCCCCCAGCCCAGCCCCCGCCGCTTCCTCAGGCTCTGCTCAAAATAAATCTTCCCCCTATTTGCTATTTACATCCTTCATTTATCGGTGATGAACTATGCTATCTCCTCAGCCTTTGTTCTCTCTTGGAAAGGATGCGGGATCATTACTGGGTTCCTTGGGATGCTTCCCGTCGGGGGAGCTGCCTCCGCCTTCCTGCCGGCCCCTGCCGTGTTTGGGGGCACCGCCCGCGGTCTCCCTGTGTGGGGACAGTCCTTTGTCCAGAGAGAGGGAACGGAGGGGATGGCCACGGGGCTGGCAACTGCACAACCCCCCAGCTGGAGGGGTGGGAGCTTTCTTGAGGGTTATGGGGAGTTTTCAGATGGATCTGGTTTGGTTTAAGGGCTGGGGGAGCTTGAGGAGTGGGAATGCTGCATCCAGGGACACGTCCCAAAGTGTGTTTACATTCCAGTGCCATCCAGGCTCTCTCAGCCTGGAGACACCCCTGGACATCTCTCGTCCATCTGTCAATCCAGCTGTCCATCCATCAGTCCAACAGTCCCCTCCTCCATCCATCCATCCATCCATCCATCCATCCATCCATCCATCCATCCATCCATCCATCCATCCATCTATCCCTCCATCCATGGGTTAATGGTTTTGGGGGTTATGCAGGTGTGGCTGTGTTGATGGTTGGACTTGATTGTCAAGGTATCTTCCAGCTTAAGGCTGATTCTATGACTTTTTTCTCCCTCCCTTTGCCCATCCCTCCATCCCACCATCCTCCTTTCCCTCACTCTCTCCATCCCTCCACCACCCCCAAACACCCCAGCACTGTGGGGGTGTCAGCTTTGCTGCTTCCCCCCCGTCCGGCTCAGCCGCCGGGCGCGGAAATAGCCGCAGGCGCCCGGCCAGCGGAGACGGAGATGCTGACTTTCTATCCGCGTCTTGGAGATTTCCCTTTCCCTTCCAGGAGGGAAATGTTTGGTTGAGGAGTCTCTGGGGAGAAATGCAGGGACACTACAGAAAATAACAAGGCCGGAGCTGGGGGTGAGGGGCAGCCGGGCCGTCGGAAGAAGATAAGGAAGGTGTTGCCTTCCTGAGAGTGCCTGGGGAAGATGAGGGAAGATAGAGGGGGACAGCAGGCATGGGGGGATGGGGAGAATCCTTGGAAGGGATGGCTGGGGAGTGGGGGGTGGGTGTGATCCTCAGGGAGCCTGGGGACCCTCAAATACCCAAAATACCATGCCCTGAGGACGCTGCAGAGCCGGGGGGCACGGCCAGGATTCCCCAAACCGTGGTTGTGGGAATGTGGCACTGGGAAAACAGAGATTATTCTGCACAGGGAGTAAAAGTGGGCTCCGGGGAGGATGGATGCACCAGGGATAGGAACTGGGGCAAGGATGGGGACAGCCCCTCCTGTCCCCC